TAAGGCACCCAATTTCCTTGTTTTTGAATCATTCCCATGGCTCTCAATCGTACGGTAGACGGCTTGAGTTACCTCCAATGATTCTGCAAGCTCTTCTTGCGTTTGACTCTGATCTTCTTCGAGTAATTCTTTGTCTTCGAATTTTTTTGGCTGTCCAGAGCGAGGCTTGTCTTCAACGCTGAAATCTCCATCCTTGAAACGTCGAAACATTCTCTACATGATTTATCAGTTGGAGCAATGTCACCATAAACTTCGACAAGCATTCGATAGGCTTCAGCTGCACTTTTTTTCCAATTAAAGCAGAAAATCAAAACTTCCCGCAAATGCTGCTTGGTTAACAAAAAATTCAACATTTCAAATACAGTAAAAATCAAGGTTTTTGTATGAAACTCAAAGTGATATAAACTGAATATTATTAGCAGATGTTTAACCTCTCTGAAACCGCCAAAATCAACTATCATTATGAATCATTCACAACAGCTGGAGCAATCTTTAGGGAAACGGATCGAACTAATTTGTACTCCCAATACTTAGCCCTAGTGATATGTATCATTTGTAAAAAAGATTTGCATTGACTGATGCCAAGTTAAATTCTACCTTCTAAAAAAAAAGTGATATCTAGTAATCTTTAAAAATATTTTCATTAAATACAGATGACCATTGTCGTGATATTTAACTTGATATTTTTACATTATATATTATTATAAGACGATGGGATAGTGCTGGGATTTTTTAAAATCTTCTTCGTAAATTCATTTAATGTCAATATTTATCATTTATATAAAAATTTGATATTAGCAACTGGCGCCATATTAAATTCTGCTAATGCAATGTTAATTTCCCAGATAGTCAAATTTGTAGAAAGTAGATATTTTAAATGTCTGTTACACATTATGCAACAAAATAACAACAGAATTAGATGTATATATCAGGTATGTAAATATGAAACCGGAATTTACCAATAGATGGCCATAGCTGTCAATGTAGTTGCCATTGACGCCATTTCCTTGTTCTGACATCTGACAAAGATTTTCAACTCATAACAATACAAGTTTCATATAACAGTATAGTTTGTAATAGTGTTGAACATGTCGAATTTTGTGCCTGGAAACTACGATTTGCGGACAGCATTGATTTTCTGTTACCATTTGAAGAAAACTGCTGCAGAATCACATCGAATGCTTGTCGAAGCTTACGATGAGCATACTCTTGATAAATCACAGTGCTTTGTGGTTTAAAAAATTCAAAAGTGGCGATTTTGATGAGAAACGAAGAACGTGGAAAACCATCGAAAAAAATTTGAAGACAGCGAATTGCAAACATTGTTGGATGAAGATGACGCTCAAACTCAACAACAACTCGTGGATCAATTGAATGTGACACGAAAAGCCATCTCCATACGTTTGAAATCCAGAAAGATCCAGAAGATGGAAAAATGGGTTCCACATGAACTGAATGAAAGACAGCAGGAAAATCGAGAAACCACTTGCGAAATGCTGCTCGCCAGGTACAAAAGAAAATCATTTCTCCATCGAATTGTGATGAAAAGTGGATATATTTTGAGAATCCTAAGCGTAAAAGATCATGGGTAACTCTAAGCGAACCATCGATATCGACTGCAAGGCCAAATCGCTATGGACGGAAGACAATGCTCTGTGTTTGGTGGAATCAGAAAGGTGTGATCTATTATGAGCTGCTAAAACCTGGCGAAACCGTTAATACTGAACGCTATCGATAACAAATGATCAATTTGAATCAAGTTTTGTATGAAAAACGATTGGAATATCGAAAAAGGCAACACAAAGTGATTTTGCTTCATGATGCACCATCATACACAGCAAAACTGGTCAAGGAAATGATTGAGGCATTTGGTTAAGAAATACTTTCGCAATACTGCGGCTTATTCACCAGACTTGGCTCCGTCCGATTACCACTTATTTGCATCGATGGAACACGCACTTGCTCAGCAGCGCTTCACTTCTTACGAAGATGTACAAAAATGGCTAGATGACTGGTTTGGCTCATAAGAGCAACAATTTTTTTGGCGTGGCATCCACAAATTGTCAAACAGGTGGAAAAAATGTATAGCTACCGATGGGCAATACTTCGAATAAAATATTTTTTATCATTTTCATGCAAACGTGTATTTTCTATTAAAAAATTCCGGTTTCATATTTATCTGGTAATACTGTTAACAGATTGTTAAAAAAAAATGTAACAGAATCTGTAAGTGTCAAATAATGTCGGAGGAGGATCTGTTCAGTTTCTGCCAACAATTTGCCTTCACATTATATCGACAGACGATGTTAACAGAACATAAGCCTAATGCGAACGCAATTAATGGCAGAGTGCCATCATCTTTTGCTCGATCTGTTGACAGAAGACAGCAGACATTTTGCTATCTGGGTTATTACTAGTATACAGATGACCATCGTTGTTATATTTATTAATAAATCCAAAAAGAAAATCATAGCAACTTTAATAGCAATTTTACCCCCATATACAAATTTACTTTTTTTTAAAAAAAGTAAAAAAAGCGCTACGAATGCTTTTCGAAAAGAAGCATTTCTATATTTGTATTTGTAAAACTTAAATAATGCGTATTGAAAAAAAAACTGCTGTACCAAATTAAAAAATAAAACTCAAGTAGTATTCAATATCTGTAGTAACTATTAGCACAACAGAAATACAAATAATTTCATTACATAATAATTTATGAGCCTGAGAAGGAAACTGTTCAAAGTTATCCTCTCCCCTACAATAAATATAATCAATGTTTTTAATTTAATTAAGCGTGACGTTTTAAATAAAGTACGTACACTAAATACAATCAATGTTTTTAATTTAATTAAGTAGCGTATTTGTGTAAAATTATTACAATATATCACAGATAAAAAACTTCGCTGCCTCATGAGCATGCTCTCTATACTTACCTTCGAATATTACTAACACAATCGCAGCCCAAGAAAGAATTATTAGAAGTTACTGCAAGCGTAAAATCAAGTGGAGCTATATTTTCGGCTCCTTAAAATGCAAAAAATCGCATATGTGGACACAGATGGGATTGAACCCAGATCTACAGATGCGAGTCATCACCAAGCAGTAAGCCACTCGACGTCTCAACGTCAGGTGTTCATGCGATAAAGATCTTATAATTTATATTTCTTATTTCAACATGTACTTCCAATTTTTTTTGTTATTTTTCTTGTTTATAATCTCTCTGATCATAATTAAATTATGACATCGTATGCATCCACATTACCGTTAACTTGATGATACATGTACATAATTTTTTATAATTTGACTGCTCTCACCGAAGAATAGACCGAAGAATTGGTTTACAGTACGAGTTTTATAATATGAACTTCAACGTATACCATGACTGCCTACTATATACCGTAGCAGAATATTATGATATTTGTGGCGTTTGTATGTAAGATGAGATCCTTCAACAATTCGGTCTATTATATTAAACTTATGTAATTTTTTTGAATTACTAAGGTGAGTTAAATTAAGTCTGAAACGAATGTGCTGTATATATGTATACTTATCTCATAAGAAATGGAATAATAGAATAAATTAATCAGTCATTATCTTCTATGCTCGTTTAAATCTGTCGATCTTGTGTTTTAATAATAAATTGTTTAATGAAAAAGATTTACCATTATTGCTTGCAAAAGAAGATCTTAAGTGAATCAGTCTATTCATTGGTAATTCGCTTAAACTGCGAATCTCATTCAAATATAAAGATGATTGATCTCCAGATGCCATTTTCAAAATATAATATGTATAAAGTATTAACAAACTGCAATACATAGCTGAATATTCAAAAATTTGTGGTTATTAAGATATAAATATTAAAATATAAGTATTTGCACTCATTCTGTCTCTCTTTCTTTCTCACTTTTTCCTCTCTCTTTCTTTCTTTCTCCTTAATTTTTATTATTGTATATTAATATGTTATATTAACATGTTATAATATATCTTATTTCCAATAGTAGAAAAATGGACTCATTTAAATATTTAATCTAGAACAGCAAAAATTAAACAGTTTTATAATAAACACTTTTCATACCTTTTCTTCAAATACGATGATGACAGCTATGTAAATTTGGAATGTCCTAGTGCTTTAGTCAACTTTTTATTGGCTTCTGATAGGAACGCGACTAAATCGTACTGTGAAACACGGATGCCGTTTTCTTGCGCTTGGCTGACGAAGCAAGAAGAGTGACAATCGCATAGGCGATCCAACGGGGGCTTGTCGCGGAGACGCAACGAAATAAAAGTATAATTAACACAAAACCCGTTATAATCCGTTTTACAAAGATTCTTGGTAGTAGTCTCATTGTCAGTATTGTTGAACAGTTTGATTCGACAAAATGTCCAGGGTTTCGTGTTTTGTCTTTTGTGTCCTTTGGATAACTGTATTTGACAAAATGCAATTTACAAATACTGAAGGTGAGTTTATTTTTCTTCCGAAGAATTAATTTTTTGTTGTAACTCTCAGCTTTTGTATGTGCGTGCGTACGTGCTGATGAATTACAAAATAAATTGCTAAAAAGAATTGTATACTTTTAATTTCACAATCAGATGTTCTGGATAAAATAAAGGCAGGATTACAGCATGCAAGTAATTATCTAGAGACGGCTAAAGACATTGCCAACTTGGTGTCTAAGAGTTTAGGTCGTAAGGAAAAACGCGGGGAAAACGGAAATGATGAAAAACAACCGTTTGGTCCTTCAAATTTTGTTTCTGCATTCTTTCGACTCATTGGATTTGATTCGCAAAAAATCGCAGCAATCGCAGTCAATAGTGTTGTATTTCTTGCACAAATGGTAAATATATATATAATAAGATATAAATTATTATACAGCAATGTGCGTGCGTGCGTTTGCGATATTTTTTTATATTCATAAAATTTAAGATGTTTCGATTATTTACTTTGACAGATAAGTACGCTTTTTGGATTGAAATCGTCGCAAAATAACATCTCTAGAAGCATGGACAACGAAGAATTGGCATGGGATCCGTTAAAATTTACTTTAGAAAATAAAAATAAGAATGTAAGTCGTTATAAATTGAAATATATATATTAAGAGTGTAATTTAATTTTGAGGGTTTTTTGTCAAAAATTGATTTATTTAAAAAAAAATTTAATATATTATGTAAATGTTTACTAATTTAACGATTTCAACATTTAATTCTCTGGCAAGTTCTGAAGTAGACTGAAGTGTACTGAATTTTCGTTCAATAATACTTGCAAATTTGCATTTTCCAGCCTTTGTCGTTAATATTGAAATCATCACTTTTAAATCGACAGAAATGATATTTATGTCTTAATTGATGGAACAACGTCATCATAAGTTCAGAATTCTATCACCTTAAGCTGCCGTTTTCTTCTGATTAACAAACAAAAGCAATGCATATTGAAAAAGCTTTTTAGGAAACTGCATCTTTAAAATGATGTAAACACGATGTTTACTGCATTTATTATTATTAAACGGCTAAATATAATAGAGTAATATTAAAGCATTAAGAAATAATAGCTGTTGGAATATCTTCGACAGTACTTACATTAAGTGTCATTTCTTATATGTATTACAATATATGTATTATTACACACGAATAACTAGTGTTAGCTCACGTTGGCATTTTCTTACATTATCATATTATAATATTAGTGTCAGTTCTTGCGTGCGCGCAAAACCCTAAAAATTAAATCACACTCCTAATAAAAGAGAGAGATTTCAATTTTGATTTAAATAATAAATGAAAGACACAATTATATAAAATTAATATTAATTAAAAATATTAATCAAAGAACTGGAAAGGATACGAGCAGTAAGGATCAAGCGCAGAAGACGTCGTGCAAATAATATATCTATGAAGTGTGAAACTTCTTTATTTACTAAAACACGCTTATATGTTTCGGCTCACTTTTGAGTGTCTCCTCAGAGACAACACAAACTAACATAAATAAATTGTAAATAAAAATTATTCTGTCATGGTAAGCTCCCCTTCTTCGAAAATTCAAATGCTAAAATTAAATACAAAAAGAGTGAAAGGACAAGAAGAAAGAAAAATGAACGAAAATAAGGAAATGATGGAAATGTTGGAATAGAGAATATGAAAAACTAATTTATCAAAAAACTTTAAGATTATAATTAATTATCCCGAAAATAAGGACGCGCATTCTTATTTTAGTGAATAAAGAAGTTTCACATTTCATAGATATATTATTTGCGCGACGTCTTCTGCACTTGAATTCTACTGCCTATATCTTTTCCTGTTCTTTGATTTATAAGGAGTCTTGGTTAGTTTGATTTGTTGTACGAAAAAATATTAATATTTGAACTTTTCTACTTTAATTACATACACGCGTAATTGAAATACATTTACAATTAAAATATATCCATAAAGCACAAATTTTTTAAATTATGTTTAATAGGTTCGAAACTTAGTTGAGCAAGCAAAAAATCCGAATTTACCAAATCAGTTGATAGCGAGAATGATTGGCTCTGATTCTGCTTGCATTCGATTATTACTATGCAAATCATCTCCGATCATAAAAGCAGTGCAAACATCTCTTAATAATAAATTGCAGAATTATATGCATCGAATGATTGCGTGGTTACCATCTAGAAAGGATTTTGAAGCAAACAGCGACGAATGTGAAGAAAATCATATCGATTGTCGTTTATTTTCATCATAATTATAGTTAATCCTTTAACTTATGAAAACAATAAAATATATAAATACTAAATATGAATTTAATAAATACTAATATGAATTTAGAATCATCTTTCTTTCTCTCTTTTATTAATAATATGGATTAATATATTATCTATTAATAATTTATCTACTGTGTGTTATGTGTAATTATATAATTAATATCTAATCTATTAATAGATGTATTAATAGATTACTGCCATACGCACAACATGTTGATTATATCAATCTTAATAAACTTAACTTTATATAACAATAACAACCGAAATATAAAAACCGAACAAAATAGTATGTATACATATAAATATAATTATATATTTTATAAAGATTGTCTACTATGTATTGCTCATATTTTTCATGTATTAATATTAAAAATTCTCATTAAATTACTATTAATGTCTGTTTTTATTAATGTATGACATAACATTAAATTGTAATTACAATTGTAAGTACAATTTACAAAAGTAAATTGTAAAAGTTCTTTATGTTCTATATGATATCTTGCATTTGAAATATACACATACATTTCTTATACACATATTCATAATTTATTATAATTTATTCATCTCATAATTTATCTTAAATTCGAAAAACATTTCTAGCGACATTTAAAATATTATTTTTCTAAGAAAGAGAGAGAGAGAGAGAGAGAGAGAGAGAGAGAGAGAGAGAGAGTTGTATTTATAATTAATTATAAATACATATAATTTAAATAAGATAATATTCTAGTTATATTTATAGTTTTATAGTTTTAAGTTTTATAATTTCAAGTTAATATTGAAATTATATAATTATTTAATATACTAGACATTAAATTTACATTTCGAAGTATGTTTGAAGTATATTTAAATGTCAATTAATTTACCTCATATATCTAATGAGATCATGATATTGTAACACAATTTATAAACGCTATATGTTTACATGTTATAGCCTTTCTCTAAAAATTGATTATAGTCAATATATTAGAATGGTCATCATTGAAAATTTAATCGACCAAGAACATTTGGCATATATTCAACTTATTTAATGTATAATTTACGTCCTATAGTTACAATATAATATCTGTTATTTACTAATCAAGAGAAAGTTTTGGCATTTGACTAATTAAGTAGAGATATTTTGATAAGATTATGCGCGATCTTGCTAAAAATATTTTGCGAAGAATAACAATGCTTTGAAAATTTCTTTTTTGCATCCCATGCAACATAAACATTAAAAATTTGATTTAATTTAGAAATAATTTATTTAGAAATAATTTAGAAGTAACAAACTATAAAAGTTTGCAAAGTGTTCTATAAAGTATTACAATGAAATATTATTTACGTATTTACGTTTTTGTTTCAAGTTTCATAAAATTATAATCAATAATTAAAATATTATTTCCAAGTCATTACGATATATACCATACATTTTTGTTGAACGCAGTTAAGAATGTTATGCTAATACATACATACATACAATAATATAAGGATTATATTTTATATATTACAACATGGTTATATTAATTGAAATATCATCATTATAATATTATATCGTAATAATAGCGTCAAAATCTTGAAATATTTATTTACAAGAGAGATTACTTATCAGATATTCATAAATATGCATACATGCATCAACCCTGTATTATTAATTTACAAATCTTTCACATACAATGTAATATAAAAATAATCAAAAGCGTCAAAGTTTTTCTTATTATCCACAGATCTACTAAATATATAAGTGATTAAGTGTACATAAAATATTCAAAACAAATGGAAGACAAAAATGAAAACTAAACTTTGTGATATGATTCTTTAATTGTTTTTAATTTTTTGTATAATAATTTATTTGTATAATAATTTTGTAATATTTTCTTTTTAAAGAATTAAAAAAAAAACATAAAAAAAAATCTTGTCAGGCGTAATATTTTAATTGGATTAGTATATCAGGTAAACATTTCCATATTATATATTTTTTGCGCGTATTACGTACATGTATATGTATACAGTTTCGATCTCTATATGTGGATGATAAACAGAGCCGAGACTAGACAGAGACTTTGACGTCCAAAATTTAATAAAGACTAATATTAATTAATGATATTTAATACTAATTTAATATTCATATTAATTTAACAGGAACATAATCACATATACAAATATATACGTTATAAACATAGTACAGATTACGTGTATATACGTATGTTACAAACACATAATCACAGGACTACAAAAAATTTTTTTAAAAATAAATCAGAGTTGGTTTCTTATTATTTCGAGTCATTGAATTCAAATTTATAAGCCGACTTTTTTGCTCTATCATGTTTTTTTAGATAATTTTTAGAGAAAAATGATGAAAATGTAAAAATTGAAAAAAAATTTGAGAAACAGCAAAAATAAAAATGTGATAAAAAATTTGAGAAAGAGCAAAAATAAAAATGTGATATTAAAATGCAATTATAGAACTGATTTATATTTTGGTAAGTTAAAGAAGTAGAAAAACTAGGAAAAATTTTTATTGCGTTACAAGCAATCAGTGGTTCGGCTGTTGAATTTGATTGACACTAGTGGAAGAAATAATTGTAAGTCATCTCGAAAATTGGCTCAAAAATTACATCTGATGCCAAACATTGCTCTATTGTAAGCCCTAAGTATAGCTGAAATCTCAAAATGTTATAAAGTATTAAAAAAATATTCTTTTTAAACTTAAAAATATCTGCATGTAAAAATGGCAAAAACTAACTAATCTATTAATTTTCTAACTTACATAACTTGCATAATTTATATTTCAAAAGTAACAATTAAAATCCATTTCTGAAAGGATTTCTATAACTCACGCAAATCGACTATTTGTCATACAATGCTATATTAATTGAAATTGTTTTATGATGTGTTAGACTACAATCTTGGCTACAATATTTGATATTATTAGTAAAATAAATTTTTTGTTTCTTGCGTGTCCATGCAATTTCTTACATTCTTATCTCTCATATAGGATAACTCTGATAAATACGCCGCGCTGGGATTTTACGCCACAGAAAAAATAGGAAGAGTGGGTAATTTTCTCACAATTATTCTTTGCTTTTATGTTATATTAGTATAATGTTACGATTTCAATTTCTTACTGTTAATATTAATGAAATTATTACGAGTTGAATCGATTTGTCACTGTATTAAGTTAGCATCATAAATTATAATCTATATAATGATTACATAAAATGATTACTGCAGGACGTGCAAAAGACTTAGTAGTTATTTCGTGATACATGAGGAATAGTAAAACATGTTTATAACAAAATACAAGTACTTTGCTCTTGTATTCTTTGTTTAATTTATTATCTTGTATATCCCACCTGTTTAGGATGTACGGTTTGTTTAGCGGGCGGGATTTATGCTCAAAGCATACAAAGTGCGCAGATTGAATTCAGTGCACTAAATGCAATAACCGCATTACCTAAAATATGTATCTCAAGTGTATTATAACACTTGTAATACATGTAAGAAGATTGTAATTATTATTTATTACTTCATATACATATTTATTATTCTTATTCCTTAATAAAATTTTATAAACGGATTTTGTAAGTTATTGTGTCACGTTTATGTTATTTCTTATTTATATGCATTATTTGTAAATTTTTCATGAGCCGTACATACCCCCTATGAATAGACATATCCCATCCTTATCGGATATACGGCAAAAATGCAAAGGTTTCAAAGTTCATTTTTTAATACGAAATATAAATATTTCAAATTTCTAATATTTTTTTTATAATAGTAGACAGCACGAAGTTTTTACTGATATAATTCATTTACTTTAAACATAGTAAATAACACTTAATAAATTAAGTTTTTGATAGGTGCGACGTATATACCGGAGTTACCCTAGCTGCGCGCCTGATTTTATGCCACTCCAACTTTTTTTCCAACATCTATGTAGCAGAATAATTTAGTAGAGAGATCTTAAAGATGTGCGAATTTTTACAGAATTTTTCGAGCACTTTAAAAACTTTAATATCGAGTCGAAATGACTTATGTATGCCATTTGAAGGTGCTGAAAATAAGTATGCCGTTCGAAGATTAGCTTATCAAAATATATTTAAATTAGTTCTACAACCATCTTTTAATGTCATAATTATTTTTACACTTTTCAAATGTTTCTTCTAATTTTTAGATTTTCTATCATTTTTCTGATTATTTAAAAAACTGGAGGTAATTATGGAGCAAAACGGTTTTGGATTTAGTGATTCAAAATCTATAAGAAACATCTATTTTGTTTTGAGTTTATTTCAAAAAAATTTTTTGGTTCTATGATAATATTTTAATTCTCGTATAAAAAATGTATTTTTCATTTAAAGTAATACTTTTCGTGTTTTGATGTCGCAAAATTGTCAATTAGCTTATCGAAATGTTATCTTTACATATATTTCATTTTTACTTAATATACATAGTTAACACTCAATGGCAGATTCACATAGTTATTGTATGTTAGTGAATAAGTTAAAATATATAGAAATTTATATTGCTATTTTTGCGCCCCTTTAAATATTTTACATGAGGCAAGTGTCTCATTCATTATATCCTAGTCCCCGCTCTGATGATAAAATGTAATTATGAAAAACAATTATATTATATTAAACCTGCTATATTGTCGATTAAGATTTAGAAAATTGTTAATTAAAGTGAATAGAATTGTTTCAATTTTTACTAAGAACGATCAATCAAATTTCCTGAAGTTTAAACTTGAATTATTAAATGTTGCTGTAAATGGCTATTAAATGTTGTTGTAAATGGCTATATGTATTATCATATCTAAATTTTTTCTCACCATATATGTATTATTTATTACAATAACATACTCTTGATTATAGTTTTGATGATTTAGCAAAGAGAAAACAAGGGAGCGACAAGCGAGCGCAGATTCCATACAAAGATAATTTTATGTTTCAAATAAAATTATTTTCAATTATAAACAAAAGTTTACAAAATCACTTTCAACTTAATTCTTAATCATAGTTCATGTAAAATAAATTAACTGAATAAATAAATTGAATAAAAAACAGTTAAAAAATTACTATATAAATATTTAAGTATTACTAATCAAGTAATGACAGTATATATAT